AGTTAGGACAACTGCCTGGGGTACACATCTTCACAAAGAAGAGAGTGCACTAGGGATGGAAATTTCTTTTGATGGAAAGTTATATATGTTTTGTTTTTTGAAGATTTTATTTATTCGACAGAGCACAACAGGGTGAACAGCAGAGGGAGAGGGAGTAGCAGGCTCTCCGCTGAGCAGGGAGCCGGATGTGGGGCTCAATCCCAGGACCTCAGGATCATGCACTGAGCAGAAGACAGATGGTTAACCAACTGAGCCACCAGATGTCCCTTGTTTTGTTTTACATAAAGAGTTACAAATCATCATGAGGAAGGACATTCCAGAAAGTTGCCAGGGAGGGGTTGGGTGTGTGTGTGTTTATATTTGGAATGCTCCTTTTTGGTTATTATTTTTTAACATGTGCTCATGGCAGGAATAGAGCCCATACTTTGAGGTTTTGCTGAATCATTTGGACCCAGGTAAATATTAATGTATAGCTTGGCTGACCCCAGGAGCAGGACTCACAAATGTTAAAAGTTGAAAATTTCCTTTCTCCTATAATGGCATTTTCTCACTCCCCAGAAATATTAGCTGCTAACATTTTGTACTAGTTCTTTTGGTCTTGATCTCCGTTGGTCTCTCTTCTGACTCCTCTTCTCCCCTCACCCTCCCCAGGGCCTCTCCCTCATTTATTTTTCATTATTACTATTCTTCTAAGTGTTCCCCCATGGGCCAGAAAGATGGGATATGCCTGGATCCGGTTGTGGCAGAGCAAGCCCACTGTTACCTTGCGCCAAGCAGAGCAAGACTTTCAGTGTTTCAAAGAGAAATAATGTCTATGACTGAGCTAAATTGTCCCTATCTCTGTCACATCACTTTTGCCTTCCCCCTGACTCCATCGTTGGCTTTTAGATGCTCTGTTCAATCCGTTTTTATGCTTTTACCTGCCCATCTGTATGCCTGCTACAAGCAGTATAGCATGCGGTTTGTGTCTGGTCTTTAGAATGTGTGTAATATATGGTATCACTGGATGTGCATTGCTCTGCGTGTTGCGCTCCTCGAATAGTGTGTAAATGTATCAGTGTGATGCATCCGTGCTCCGCCACACTGATACTATCCCATCTTACGGATTTCCTACATTTTCCTGTATGTCCTTCTACCAATTAATTCCTTTTTTTCCTTTGCTACATCCACGTGTATTTTTTCTTTTTTTAATAATAAATTTATTTTTTATTGGTGTTCAATTTGCCAATATACAGAATAACACCCAGTGCTCATCCCGTCAAGTGCCCCCCTCAGTGCCCGTCACCCAGTCACCCCCAACCCCCGCCCTCCTCCCCTTCCACCACCCCTAGTTCGTTCCCCAGAGTTAGGAGTCTTTATGTTCTGTGTCCCTTTCTGATATCTCCTACCCATTTCTTCTCCCTTCCCTTCTATTCCCTTTCACTATTTGTATTCCCCAAATGAATGAGACCATATAATGTTTGTCCTTCTCCGATTGACTTACTTCACTCAGCATAATACCCTCCAGTTCCATCTACGTTGAAGCAAATGGTGGGTATTTGTCGTTTCTAATGGCTGAGGAATATTCCATTGTATACATAGACCACATCTTCTTTATCCATTCATCTTTCGATGGACACCGAGGCTCCTTCCACAGTTTGGCTATTGTGGCCATTGCTGCTATAAACATCGGGGTGCAGGTGTCCCGGCGTTTCATTGCATCTGAATCTTTGGGGTAAATCCCCAACAGTGCAATTGCTGGGTCATAGGGCAGATCTATTTTTCACTCTTTGAGGAACCTCCACACAGTTTTCCAGAGTGGCTGCACCAGTTCACATTCCCACCAACAGTGTAAGAGGGTTCCCTTTTCTCCACATCCTCTCCAACATTTGTGGTTTCCTGCCTTGTTAATTTTCCCCATTCTCACTGGCGTGAGGTGGGATCTCATTGTGGTTTTGATTTATATTTCCCTGATGGCAAGTGATGCAGAGCATTTTCTCATGTGCGTGTTGGCCATGTCTATGTCTTCCTCTGTGAGATTTCTCTTCATGTCTTTTGCCCATTTCATGATTGGATTGTTTGTTTCTTTGGTGTTGAGTTTAATAAGTTCTTTATAGATCTTGGAAACTAGCCCTTTATCTGATACGTCATTTGCAAATATCTTCTCCCATTCTGTAGGTTGTCTTTTAGTTTTGTTGACTGCATCCTTTGCTGTGCAAAAGCTTCTTATCTTGTACATCCACGTGTTTTTAGCTTTTCACTCAGCTTGTGAGATCCATCCATGTTGTTACGTGTTGTCATAGCTCAGTCATTTGTCATCACTGTATATGCTCCATTGTGTAAACACATACAGTTTACCAGTTCTTTTTTTTTTTTTTATGATAGTCAGAGAGAGAGAGAGAGAGAGAGAGAGAGAGGCGCAGAGACACAGGCAGAGGGAGAAGCAGGCTCCATGCACCGGGAGCCCGACGTGGGATTCGATCCTGGGTCTCCAGGATCGCGCCCTGGGCCAAAGGCAGGCGCCAAACCGCTGCGCCACCCAGGGATCCCCAGTTTACCAGTTCTGCAGTAGATGGACAAGAGGACTCTTCTGTGTTTGACCATTGTGAATAGCAGTACTGCGGACTCTGGTACGTGCCTTGTGGTGTGCAATGTGCATGCATTTCAGTTAGGTATATATTTAGGAGTGGAACTGCTGGGTCATGGGGTATACATATGGTTAACTCAGTAGAGAATGTCAGATATCTTTATAATTTTATACAATTAATACAACAAGCAGTGTGCCAGCTGCTCTGCAGTCTTGCCAATAGTTGGTAGTATTATTAGGCTTTAAATTTTTTCCTAATAATTGTGTAGCAGTATTTTATTGTGGATTTAACTTACCTTCCTCTTACGAATAATGAGTGAGCATCTTTTCATACACTTATCAGCCATTTGGATATCCTCTCATAAGTTGCTTATTCATGAAACTTGCCCTTTTTTGAATGAATTGTCTCTTGCCTATTGATTTGGAGGGAGGGAGCCCTATTTTGACCAAAGCTCTTTGTCAGATACGTTATTGCTAATACCTTCTCCCACCCTGCAGCTTGCCTTTTTTTTTTAATTTTTATTTCTTTATGATAGAGAGAGAGAGAGAGAGAGAGAGAGAGAGAGAGAGAGAGAGAGGCAGAGACACAGGCAGAGGGAGAAGCAGGCTCCATGCACCGGGAGCCCGACGTGGGATTCGATCCCGGGTCTCCAGGATCGCGCCCTGAGCCAAAGGCAGGCGCCAAACTGCTGCGCCACCCAGGGATCCCCCGCAGCTTGCCTTTTTGCTCTTCTGATTGCATCTCTCGATAAACACCGGTGGTGGACTTTAGTGGAGTCTAATTTAGCAGTCTTCCTTGAGGGTTGGTACTTCTGCTGTTTGTTAAAGGAGCTTTTCTCTACTCCACGGTAGTAAATACCTTCTAGAAATATTACTGTTTTATCTTCTATTTTTGATCCATAATCTTAACTGGACTAGGTTTTTGTGTGTGGTGTAAGGTGGGGGTTAGATTTCATGTCCATTGGTGATACTGATAAAAGCTCACTTAATAGATACAAAACTGGCAAAGTAGTTGATAGCCCAGCAATCAACACTTGACTCTCTCCTGGACATAATTTGCATATCTGGGGACAAGAATCATCTTGATTTACAATGATAAGTGTAGAATCAGATGATCTGGAAATCTGATAGTCTATGTTATGTATTGTTCTTTGAATTATTCTTTGAACCAGTTGCAACATTTTACTGGTTCCCTTGTTAATGAGTTAAATTTTTTGACACGTGTTCATTTTGTATCTTTAGAGAGTTCTGACTTTATCCATTAAAAAAGATAGGCTAGCAGTTCTAATTTTCTTTGCCTTTGCTTTTTGCTACTCCTTGTTTATCTTCTAAATAATGGGGTTTGTCATAGGCTGTTCTTACATTTTTGGTCGCTAGTGACTAATCCAATCAGTGGCTGAGGGTTAGGGGTGGGACAGTCCTAGGATACACATCGTGGCTTCTGGTTCACCAGGCACTGTTGGCAAGAAAATACAATGACTGATAATTCTAGCATGTCCTATCACTTAGTTGAGAAATAAAAGTGCGTATAATAACCTCATTGCCCCTCTAGCACCAAATAATCTTCCAATGATTGACAAACTGAAGAGTAGTCACGTATTAATTGTATAAACTCAGGTTGTTGTTTTTTTTTAAAGAATTTATTTATTTATTCATGAGAGACAGAGAGAGAGGCAGAGACATAGAGGGAGAGGCAGGCTTCTCCCAGGGATCCCAATATGGGACTTGATCCTGGGACAGGGATCACACCTTGAGCCAAAGGCAGACACTCAACCGCTGAGCCACCCAGGTTTCCCTGAAGTCGGGCTTTTAAATTGAGTGACTTTTTCTTGAAAGGAAGATAGATCAATAACCTAGAAGAAAAGTGTAAGGCGATAGAAAAACACATTTTAGGAGGACCTGGGTGGCTCAGTTGTTGAGAGTCTGCCTTCAGCTCAGGTCATGATCCCAGGGTCCTGGGATCGAGTCCCCCATCGGGCTCTCCGCAGGGAGCCTGCTTCTCCCTCTGCCTGTGTCTCTGCCTCTCTGGGTCTCTCATGAATAAATGAATAAAATCTTCAAAAAACCCCTGACATTTTACTATTGTTATTTTTTACAGCATGCAAGCAGGGGTGGAGGGGTGCAAAGTGGATAGAGAGAATCTTAGGCAGGCTCCATGCCCAGCATAGAGCCCAACCCAATGTTTGATCTCAGGACCCTGAGATCATGACCTGAGTTGAAATCAAGAGTTGCTCTCTTAACTGACTGAGCCACCCAGGCACCCAAAAAACATTGTAAGAAAAGAATTGTAACTGTACCTTTCTCACAGATGAAGTATTTATTGTTTTATATGGGAGAAAAAAAAAGATTAGTATTTAAAAAAAAAAACAACAATGACACAATAATTCAGGGCAAATTGCTGTATTTAGACCAAATCTTTATTTTTTAAAAATGTGATACAGCCATTTAATTTTTACATTAACAGTAGCCAATATTTGTGTGACTCATTCACATGATTTTCTGTGTACCACAAGCACACAGTTTATATAAAAAATAAATTAAGCTTTAATAATGAAACACAGGTTTACAAATGCAGCTTTTTAAAGTCTACTGAAAAATAAGAAATGTAGAAATTTCTGAGAGACAGGATTATTGCAGAATCTGGTTCTTCAAGAAGAAAATATTTCAGAAAGGACAAAACCTGAGAAATCATGGAGTGTTTTTCAAGTGCCAATTTTGTCATCCTGCATATTTCTTAAACTACTTTATTAACTTTCTGTTGGCCAGAGTATGACTTTTTAGGGTTGTCTCCAAAAAGTTAGCAGCCACCCAAGTTGAAAGTTAACTTAATTTTTTTAAGTACACTTCATACCCAGCATGGTGCCCAATGTGGGGCTTGAACTCACAACCCCCGAGATTAAGACCTGAACTGAGATGAGTTCGATGCTAAACTGACTGAGCCACGTAGGTGCCATGAAAACTAACTTTATTCATTTTAAATTTGCTAAAAGGGCTGAGGCCTCTTTTAGCCATCCTTCTCAGATCCAAGTGCAACTCATCACTTAGCAGCCCTACATCAGCCACCTTAAAATTTAACGCTCCGAGACCTCTTTGGTGAATTTTGAAAAACTGAGTATTCCCCTGCACATTTTTAAACTGATATCTAAAATTTTTCATCGTAAATAGTTGCGAAGAATTCAAGTTGCCAGCATGTTGCAGATAATGCATCTTTAAATAAAATGGTTACATTCCTCTTTAAGTCGAGCCTAGAGGTGCTAAATACAGTAGCTGATAGACACTATCACCTGTTCAAAAACTACAGGAATAAGGCAATTTTTGATGGTAGGAAATACACCCTTTTTTGTTTTACCCCTTGAACGTGTGTTTTTACTCTACTTCCCTTCAAAATTTTAGCCTATTGATGTTCGGCTTTTATATTGTTTGTTTGCATATTTTATCACATTTCTATAATAGCCAATAAATCATAAGGCTTTATGCATTTGAAACTTCTGGATTGCATTTGATCAATAAGCTAATATAGTGCAAATTTTAATAATTAAACATACTAAAATTTCATTGGCAATGTATCACTCAGTGTGTTGAAGAAAGCTTCCCCCCACTTCATGTCTTCATGTTATTTCATGTCTCTGTAGATACATGTTACCCTTGTTAGAATGTCCACGGTATCCATCCTATTCTCCCTCTGCAATTTTATGTATGAAAAGTGTTGCTGATCTTTGTTCCCCTAGATAAGGAGATGGTAACAGAGTTTTTGTGATAGCAGAATAGCTGAATTCTCCTAAGTCCTTCAGAAGTTACAGGCTAAAATGCTGAGAAATCTTGGGTGTTACTTCAACTTTATTGGAATCAAAAAAATTGAGAGCCACCTGAATGGCAGAAGGATTTGTACCTGAAGAGGCTTTCACTTCCCAAGCACTTGTATTTTAAATTTTATACCTTGAGTCACGCTCTATAGTTTAAAACTCACTATGGGGAAAGAGCTTGTTCTTTTGTAAGGGGAGAAAAAAGCATTTTCTGAGGCAGATGAACCTTAAGAAAGAGTATAAATAGGAAGGTAAGGATCTGAAAATTGATCCCCTAAAATTATTTGAGCCTGTATATTCCTTGGAAAGCTGTGGTAGACAGGGTAAGGCTGGCCCAATCTGAAGATCATTGGCCTTGGTGACTTAAATTTAGATCTTATTTAAGTCACAAAATATGTCAATTATTAGATTCTGTTGCCTGGCTTCCTTTAAATTTGGAATCTCTACACCAACATGGGCTCAAACTCATGACCCCGAGATCAAGAGCTGCTTGCTCTTGCAGCTGAGGCAGCCATGTACCCCTGTGGCTGTCTCCTTAAGAGAGCAGCTGCCCTCAAATGTGTTCCACTGCACACTAGCCCCATGAGATAGACATCCCTTGGCTCAAATGACTCAGGTCTAACTTGGGAAATGTAATATTCTACACCTCTCTTAACCGTGCACATTAGGATATCCAAGCTTCACAGCAGAGAAATTATTTAACTTCGTACAACCTGAATTTCCCAAACTTCAATATCTAACCAGTGTCCCCCTCCTTTTGTTTTTCCATGGGATAAAACATAGTCTAAATGATATACCTAGAGAAAAGTGTAACACATACACAGCCATGGTTTGGATCCGCTATGCTGTTGCCATCTCTCAAGATGTCCCTATCACTATTCTGCGTGACCTGAATTGTGCTTATTTCATGACTGTTACACCACAATCTCAGCTAGATATATCTAGGTTGTGTGGCATCCGGGCAGACTATGGGAAGAGTAGCGACATCACCTGTGCCTTTTACTTTCCCTCTGTTTTTTCCTGAGAGAATCCTAGTACCACCTTCTCTGTTAATGTGAGTACCACCTTACTCTATTAAGGAGAGAATGGATGAGCCAAAGCAAATACTCTCTAATGGTGGATTCAAATCACTGTAGCACTTAGGAGGAGACAGTTTTAGGGAAAGAGTTTATTCCCAGCACCATTTATAGTATAACCCCCACCATCCCCCTGCATTTTTGCTGCATAGGTGCGGCTGGGCAGGGATTTCACACAGTAACAGCTGAAAAGATGGTTTTTTTCCTTCTATGCCACACTGTCTTAATTTGACACACTAGCAGAAAGTCCATTTTAAGCAGAAAGGGGATCCAGGCCTTTACTTAGCTCTTTGACTTTAAAATGAAGTGGGGAGGTTTATGTCTTTTGCTCACCCCTGAGCTGAAAACGGGGAGAATGACAGCAGCACCTGAGCTCTGTGGTGTAGAGGTAATGATGAGGCAAAAGAAGTCTGGAGGTAGGGCTAAGGGTGCAATCATTAGGCTCCAGTGGCCACCTGGCCAATGGCGAATGGGGCACTGGCTAGAGAGTCTGCAAATTCCTTCCCTGCAGCACTTCCCTCCGTGTCTTTGCATCTCACCTCTATTCAAAGTTGCTTTGGACATTTGCTACCATCAGGAATATTCTTCACTTTAGTGGCTGACTGCAAAATAAGATAGCAACTCCAGTTTGAAGAATAAATATCACAAGATAACAGCTCCGCCTCATCAGACTGCTGTTACCTATACTCCAGGCTTTAAGGAAAGTAAAATGCATTTCTTTCAGGAGCATGGGGATAGATAAATTCCAGAACAGTAAGCATGGCTTTTTTTTCCCCCTAAAAAAACTTTTTTTTTTTTACATTGTGCCCCTGACCTCGGGCGCAGTACTTGATGTATAGAGGAGCTTAAAAACTTCTGTGGAATGCAAGCATAAGGTCTTTTGAACACACACACAGCCTGGCTGGTTTTCATGTACTTCCCAGTACATGCAGGCTAAGTCCAGGGTAACTAGGGAAGGGCTGTATGTGTGTTTACTATCCAGTTCCAACCAGTAAATCCACCAGGTTAACTGCTAGTTGGTCCTCCTGACACGATCGTATTTTTTCTCACCATTACCTGCTCCACCACCACACACCCAAATCCGTTCTCAATTCCCTCTGACCAAGTCATGAGTCTACTGAGTCATACTCTCCACCTCCAAACTATCCTTGCCTTTAAGAAGCCTTATTAAATCATCACACTGTATGAACCATTCAATCGTATCAATATCAAGATGTAGACGAGTATCATCTTGTCCTAGGTGGGTCTGCCTCTCTGGTGATGGCTGGAGGTAGGTTTTTTTTTCTGTAGTTTGCTAAGGCTTAAGGCTTAGCTCAGTGCTGCAGAAAATGGGATAACCCCAGAGGGCTAAACTGTGATCATCTTTTTAAGTTGGTAAATGACCTCTTGTCTATGGAGAGTTGCAGACACGGGGCCTCTCCAGCAGTCATGCGGCCAGCTCACAAGTGGGCAGAGATGGGGGCGGGGTGAGAAGTGGGCTGAGCCTTCCCAGTGGGTCTCTGGCCTCTCTGACAGACTTCTAAATCAAAGTGGCCCTCACCCCAATAACTCCAGTCACAGAGTAAGTCTCCATCGTCAACTGGAAAGTTGTCCTACTGAACAGAGATTCCATTCCTCAACCACCTTTGAGGCACAGGCTGCAGGTCTGTCTAGACAGCCAGCTGGCCAGTGGTGGCACCCACGGAGCAAAGCCCGGCACACGGGGCAGCTGGGGGCAGGGCTCCTCTTCGGGCCCTGGTGAAATCCGATGGCCTTAATTGTGGAATCATTTGCCTTTTGGTAAAAATTCTTTTCAGAATCTAATGAATTAGTTCCTTACATATGGGGCTCATCCTCCGTGGAAGTCAGTTACCTGGGTCTTTAGAGGCTGGAAAAGGAATGCTGTTCACTGTATGGGTCAAGCACAGGAGGGTTAACTCATCAAGATTTTCACTGCTTTTATTCAAGGAGGTTTGGAACATGTTTTTATGATCCTCTATAGAAAATATAAGTTAAGAAATTGTCCAAGATGAAAAAAAATTAGGAAATAACCCCAACTCATGCCAGTCGGATCTTCAGAAATGTCATCTTGATGCCAGTCTTGCAGAGAGGATGACCTCACGGATGAGCATGTATCCAGGGTCTGAAAGAGAGGACTTTCTCCTATACACAGACACACACGCATGTGACACCCCGACACATGTACCCCAGCTTCTAGGAGTAAAACCTGCTGTTGCTGACTCGCTTCTCTCTCAACCTGCAACAAAACAGATTTCACCATCATGAGTTAGGCTCAGACATGGGCCATGTGCCGAATAGTATAAACTTCATCCGCTCTCTGCAGGGCCTTCGTGGCTGGGTAGTAGAGGGCTGACAGTTGGCCAAGTGGGCTCCTCCTGGCAAGACATGGAACCTCTCTGAATCTGTTTCTTCACTGGGCATTGCACTGGGGTCACTGCTGCTCTGCAGGCTGCAGTGTGGATGAAATGAACATATGGGTGAGGAGTCTACACGGTTTCCCACTGGAGTCTGCTCTGGCGGTTCAGGGCAGTTCTGTTGAGCAGGATTATCTGGCACACTGCAGGACACCAGGCAGGTGTGGCTGTCCACCCCTCCCTGGCACCCCACATTACTTCTGCAGTACAACCAGAAGCATCCCTTGCGGGTGAGGAAGATGAGGTCTGCCCCAATCCAGAACCACTGGATGGGGGAACCTGACCAGGCTCTTTAGAAGGTAGTGGTCTTGGGACACCTGGGTGGCTCAGTAGTTGAGCATCTGCCTTTGGCTCAGGGCATGACCCCAGGTCCGGGGATCAAGTCCCACATCAGGCTCCCGGGGGCCCAACATTACTGCCTGCAGGAACGAGACCTGGGCATTTTTTAAAAAGATTTTATTTATTTATTCATGAGAGACACAGAGAGAGAGGCAGAGACACAGGCAGAGAGAGAAACAGGCTCCATGCAGGGAGCCCGACGTGGGACTCAATCCTTGAAGTAGTTCAAGTGAGCCAAAGGCAGAGGCTCAACCGCTGAGCCACGCAGGCATCCCTAGAGACCTGGGCATTTGCAGGGGAAGCAGGAGTGGGGAGCAGCCTACCTCCGGTTGCACTTCTCCTGGTACAGCTGGAGCTGGTTCTCGTTGACATTGAACTCTTTAACGAGGGCATCCCGGTTGGCGTTGCGCAAGTTCTGGTGTGTGTCGTACAGAAAGAGCTGATTGTTGAGCTCTTCCTGCCGCCTTCGCAGCTGGCGACAGGAGGAATAAAGTTCCTCTTCGCTCTCCTGGAGGGGAGAAAAGCACCAGGAGGGGACCATGTGGGACTCTGTCCCTTCACAGAGTGAGTGAGGGGAGCGGGAGAGTTTTGCAACTGGGATTATCCCCAAAAACACAGGGTCCATTTTAACCAAAGCTAAAACTCAGTTATTTACTCCATTGAAAGCAAGCGATCTGAAAAACTCTTGTTCACAATAAAGGGTGGCCTTATGGAGAAACACTGAAATAACTGCATTGCCCACTGATCCTAATGCCTAAATCTGGGTTTTCATTCTCCATCACCTTCTAGTCCTTACCCAAATGCAAAGGGTCTAAGTAGCTATGTGCTTTTAAAGTAGAACACAACAGAGAAGGGGGAGAACGGCCTAAAACGAGGACAGAGAGGGAAGCAGAAGCCAGAGGGTCTTTTGAGACCCTAAAAGGCAAGATGACACACTATGACACGGATGAACCCTGAAAACATTAAGTTAAAGAAGCCAGTTCCAAAACATCACACACACTGATTCCATTTATATGAAATGTCAAGAACATGTAAATTCCTGGAGACAGAAAAGTAGTGGTTGCCGGGGTGGGGGGTGGACCTAACAAATGAGCAAGAGTTTCTTTTTTGGGGTGATGAAAATGTTCTAAGATTGATCGTGGTGATGGAGTACATTTTAAATGGGTGAATCATACGGTATACAAATTGTATCTCAAAGCTGTTACCCCATCCCTCAAAAACCAAGGTAACCTAGATTATACCCCCCAGAGATGGCACACAACTTAGTTCTAGCCAGTAATGGTGTCTTTCTCCCTCTGCCACCACCTGTGAGCATGTGACCCAAGCCAGGCCAATTCCAAGGGACTTTTGGTTGGTGGTCTTGGTAGTAACGAAAATATTTCTTGGGGATCAGTTCAAAGAGCAGCGAATGTTTCTAGCTGCTAGCGGTCCCCTTGCTATCCTGTAGAGAAAGTTGGGAATGAAGTCAAAAGAGAGGGAAATAGAGCCACTGGGTGAGCGCCTGGATCCAGCCATGACTGAAGCTATCTGCCCTTAAACTTTGCAGTTGTCTTACCCAAAATATTCCCTCCATTATGTCAAGAAAAAAAATTTATCACAATAAGCAGTTGGGATTTCAGCATGGGAGAAAGAGGATGTTCAAAGAGTTTACTGCCTGTGTTTTCTTTTAGGAGTTCTGTGGTTTCCGTTCTTACATTTAGGTCTTTAATTCATTTTGGGTTTATTCTCGTGTGTAGTACAAGAAGTAGTTCAGTTTCATTCTTTTCCATGTAGCTGTCCGGTTTTCCCAACAGCGTTTATTGAAGAGACGGTCTTTTCCCCATTGTATGCTACTGCCTACTTTGTCATAGATCCATTGACCACATAAGTGTGGGTTTATTTCTGCACTCTCCATTCTGTTCCACTGATCTATGTGACTATTTTTGTGCCAGTACCACATTGTTTTGACTACTACAGTTTTGTAGTATATCTTGAAATTTGGAATTGTTTCAGCTTTGCTCTTTCTCAAGACTGCTTTCTCAGAGAAAAGGAATTGCTCAAAGGCTATTCCTTTGTGATTCTATACAAGTTTAGGACTATTTTACTTTTGTGAAAAATGCTCTTGGGATTTTGATAGGGATTGCACTGAATCATAGATCACCGTGGGTAGTATGGACATTTTAACAATATTCTTCCCATCTGTGAGTATGGTATAACTTTTTACCTAATTGTGTCATCTTCAGTTTCTTTCAACAGTGTCTTTGGATTTTCAGAGTACGAGTCTTTCACCTCCTTGATGAAATTTTCTAGTTATTTTATTCTTTATGATGCAATTGTAAATGGGATGTTTTCTTAATTTCTGTTTCTGCTAATTTGTTATTAGTGTGCAGAAACATGACAGGTTTCTGCATACTAATTTTGTAACCTGTAACTTAATTCATTTATTACTTATAATGGCTTTTTTTTTTTGGTGGAGTTTTTAGGATTTTCTATATATAGTATGTTATCTGCAAAGTTTTACTTCTTCCTTACCAATCTGGGTTCCTTTTATTGTCATGTCTCATGGCTGTGGCTGGGACTTCCAGTACTATGTTGAATAAGACTAGACACCCTTGTCTCATTCTTGATCTTTGAGGAAAAGCTTTTAGCTTTTCACTGTTGAGTCGGATGTTAGCTCTGTGTTTGTCATATATGAGGTATGTTCTGTCTACACCCACTTTGAGAGTTTATTATAAATGGATGTTGAATTTTGACAAATACTTTTCCTGAACCTATTGATGATTTTTAGCTTTCATTTTATTAATTTGATACATACTTTGATTTGTGGATAATGAATCATTCTTGCACCCCTGAAGGAAATCCCCTTGATGGTGGTGAATGGTGCTTTTAATTTATTGTTGTTTTTACTTTGCTAATATGTTGAGGATTTTTACATCTATGTTTATCAGGGATATTGATGTGTAATTTTCTTTTTTTCCCTTTTTTAACTGTATGTCTGATTCTGGTATCAGGATAATGCTGGCCTCACAGAATGTATTTTGAAGCATTACTTCCTCTTCTGTTTTTTGGAATAATTTGAGAAGGACAGGTTACTGACTCTTCTTTAAATGCTTGATAGAATTCACCTGTGAAGCCCTCTGGTCCTGAACTTTTGTTTGTTGTGAGTTTTTTGATCATTGGTTCAATTTCTTATTTAATTTTGGAAGACTGTAGGTTTCTAGGAATCTATCCATTTCTTCTAGGTTGTCCAACTTGTTGCTGTATAATTTTTGGTAGTAGCGGTTTATAATTCTTTATATCTCTGGTGTCAGCAGTTATGCCTGGGTGGGGTGAATGGTGCTAGCAAAGTTGATGGAGAGGGTCAGAACCGCCTGCCCCCAGCATACTGCCAGCGAGCAGGATGTACAGAAAACTCCTACAAATCCCTGACCCTCCAGCACATGCCCTAAAATTAATAACTCCGTCAGGTGTCATCCAGGTGCTTTCAAACTGCTGCCTCTGTGCTGGGCCTCAGATGGAGTGATACAGCACCATGGCCCTTTGAGTATGAAGTCTGTTTCCTGCAGCCCAGTGGCTCTCCTGGAGTAGCAGCACTGGAATTCAAAGCCAGATTTAGGGCTCGTCTTCGCAGTGAAGGTCCCCTGGGCTGGGAGTTCCTATGTGGGACTTGATTCCCTTGCTCCGTGGGGAGCACCTCTGTGCCCATGATATTCCTCCTGTGTATGGGTCACTGCACTGGGAGGCTGGTTCCCTTGCTTCTGCCCCTCTGACCCTTCTTGCTCTGGCTTTTTCTTAGGTCCTTAGCTGTGGACAATCTGCTCTGCCAGTCTTCAGGTCATTTTCAGAGTGTGTTTCATTATATGTAGTTGTTGTCTGTGTGTATCTGTGGGAGGAGATAAGCTTGGGATCCTCCTACTCTGCCATTCTTTTTTTTTTTTTAATTAAGATTTTATTTATTTATTTGAGAGGGAGAGGGGGAGCGAGAGAGAGCACACAAGCAGGGGGAGTAGCAGAGAGAGAGGGAGAAACAGGCTCCCCAATGAACAGAGAGCCCGGCTTGGGGCTCCATCCCAGGGGCTGGGATGACGACCTGAGCCCAAGGAAGATGCTTAACTGACTGAGCCACCCAGGCACCCCTACTCCACCATCTTCTGACTTATGTAAAAGATGGCTACTCCAGAGATCCGTCTGTTGGCTGCTACTGCTGATGAAGTAGTTCAAGTGACAGACTCCAGCACTACAAAACTGTGCATCAGTATTCATGAATGGGTTGCTCCTGTCATTTATTTTTATAAAAAATGGTGTCAGACCACACCTTGCTCTGCAAATTTTCCCTTCCACCTTATCAACTTAACAACACATCATGGACATCCCCCAGGATAACAGAACTCTGACCTTGGAGAGTGGGGAGAGCGATGGGGAAGATTATTCTGGCCACTTGCAAAGGTGCTGAGGAGAAAAAGAAGACAGTCTTTGCACAGGGAGTGGAGGTAAGACAGACAGTCCTCATGACTATTCAGTATGGAGTGAGGCACGGGGAAAAGTCAGTAATGACTCTGCTTAAATTTATGCTTTTCCCCCAAGGAGACCAGCTTCCCTTCCTATTAAAAATAAAGCAAAACAGAAACTGCATTCAAATCTTAATCCTGTACTACAAATGATCTCTCTTCACCTTCTCTCTACCCAGAATAAAACAACTTCTGTTGCTTTCATTTATAATGACTTTTGTTGTTCAGGTTAAGTTCAAAATTCAAATGCTTCTACCCTTGCAGACCTTTATCTCATTTTCCAAATCCCAAAGCGTTTATAGCTATGTTCCGTAATTCAGTCCTCAGTATTCCACAACGAACATTCAGGAAAGAACACAAAACATACAGTTTAATGAATAACTATAAACAGCTATGGTGATGCCAAAGGAAGAAAGAGAAGGTTGTTTGCCTTGTGCATCCTTCCTAATCGAGACTCCCTCATTCCCTCTTATAATTTTAGAATCATCATTGCCTGGTTTTCTTTCAAATCTGAGTTTTCACACAAAAATTTAGTTTTTTCCAAGTCTACAGTTATTTGTTATTGAATAGAGTTTACGGATTTCATTGGTCACCATTGCTTCTTGCCATTATAGTCTTTCTTGCATAAGTAAGGATTTTGGTAGTTCTTTTTAGCACCAAATTATCTATCTCTGTAGGTGTGAAAACTACCTTCATTTTGCCCTCACTCTTGAATGGCAATTATTAGGATACAGAATGCCTAGATTTCCAGCCGTGTATCTTAAGTGTTTTGAAGCTGTCCGTTAGTCTTCAGGCTGCGGTTGCTATAGATGGGAGTGTTGGGGATCCACAATCCTTCATAGAATCCTTTAGAGGTAATCTTCATTTTTATAATTTTCTCTTTATTCTGATATTTGGCCAATTCAGTGGAATGTAGCTTTATGTGCATCTATACTTAACACTGCTGCTGTTTAAAGCTGGAGAGCATGTGCCTCTTCAATGCCAGGAGATTTTTCAGTCATCATCATTTCAGATACTTTAT